TTATGTTGTTCTTTCTTGTTTTGGGTCATTATCTTTTAGTCTGTTTTAAAATAGTATGGCTGTATCTTTGATCTTTTTAGGGTGGGCCTATCTTCTTGGCCTGTTTTCTCTGTAGGGATATTTTTATTCCTCATTCTCTTTTTATTTTAATACATTGATGTAAAATTAGACCTCTTGTTGACTTCATATGAGTTTAAGCTTTTTTCCCTGAAATTTTAGATTGAGACGGGCTTCAGATTAGCTTTTCTCCCTTCATAGAGCTTTCTCTTACGTTGTTTTTGTGTAGTATTTCCAAGTATGGCTGTTTTCTTAAATTTCCTGAATTTATTTCCCCTCCCATATTACTCTGGACCTTTTCTATCTGCATCTCTTAGATGCATCCTCTGTTGAATTTTGATTCCACTTCCAGAAGTTTCTTTTCTGTGTGGAGTTCCCCCTGGACAGGAGCCTGCTGGGTCTGTTTTGCAAGCTCCCAGGGGTCTGGATTGCTCCCACTCATTCACTCCTTCCCATCAGTGGGACACCCTTAATCACCCTTTGCACACCCTTAATCAAGAGGGCGAATGAGCCCTCTGTGCTTTCCTGAACATGGCTGTCACCCTTTCGGGGTTCTTCTGTCCTCAGGTCCTTCAGAGTTTACCCCACTGCGTCATTCTTCTCCCTCCTGCCCAGAGTCTGCTACCATCAACATCGTGGCCATGGCTGTTCACCCCTCTGGCCCCTCTGCCCACCCCTCCCCTGATTACATGCTGTTGGGGGTATGTTGGCATCTAGTTTTGTAGCCTTCCCTGGATTTATTTTCTAATTTTGTGTGGTTCACGTGGAGAATTGGATATGAGTGAAAACTCTGCTGCTGTGCAAAATGCCTCCCAGTGTTGCCTGTGTTAACATATCTAAAAGCAGCACACACAGGTAGATGGCCATACCAGTTTCTTACACTGGAAAACAGAAAGGAAGGCATATTAATTAGTCAATACTGCTGTTTCTAGGTGAGAAATTGAGAAACGCTCCTGCAATTCTGGATGAGTTCTCCTTCAGCCAGAAGCCTGCTGTTTTATTTTTAATTTCATTTATTTTCAGTGCTCGAATTCTTGAGGAGTTTGATGTTCAGGAACACAACTACTGTTAAGAAACATGACCATTGCCTCTGAGCCTGGGCGGTGCACTTGCTGTTTCAGAGCATCCTCAGTTGCGCCGCGTTCTTTGAAGTCGGGCTTTGAAATATTTTTAAAATGTCTTGTTACCGTGTAGTATCTGTTTGGATTCTATCTGGCTGTGCTTTCTTATGATGCTCTTTCCATTTACAACAGGAGAAGTGTAGCCCAGGCTTTTTGTCAACAGGCATCTTTTGAGGCCCTTTGTGGTTGTACTGTGGACAAAAGGTAAGACACGGTCCTTTCTCTGAGGATGTTTCATTCACCTCGTTGTCTTAGGGACAGACTCGGGAAGCAGGGGCCTGGTTTCTTGTGGGCTCTTTCCCCCTCCACTGCAACCCAAACTTTTTAGTTTCTTAAGCATATCTCATAGTAGATCCTACTGAAAATGCTGTGCCTATTAAACATAACTAATCTCTGAATTTTAGGCCTGATTTGTTTTGGAGGCTAGCTCTGTGATGTCATTACCAGTTTCCATGATTCCGAATGAGAGTCTGGATTAATCAATGCAGATTCTTATCAAATTGAACAGTGTATTTGCTCTAAGTCATCTAAATTGCTCTCCACGCTTATTTAGAGTTGCTGGAACGTGAGGGTGCCTCTCCCATACTGTGTTTAGGGCAGCAGTCGGCATCATTTGTAGCATCTTTCTAAGTGTACTTCCATCAGTTAAGTTTGTGCAAAAAGGCAATGCGGACTCTGTAACTTCGTATTTTAGCCTATTTTATTTTTGAATACAACTTCTTGGATGGTTCCTAACCTACAATTTTTTCTCTAGCAATTTACCAAACAGATGACTTCTTTCAAAACAGGAATTGAAAATGGCCAGTTATATCTACAGATGAACCGCTGTATAGACTTGAGTAGCGCTTTCCTCTCAGCAGAGCGGTGGTGAGGAAGGTCGTTTGGGAATCACCCCAAACACCAGCGCCCCCATTTTGTAGTGTGTGGGTGTGTAACACTGGGCAGTTCCCAGAGCTTCTCTATGTCCTAGTTCCTCATGTGTGAAATGTGGTAGTGATGGTCCCTAAGTCAGAGTCCCTGTGAGGATTAAATGACATAACACATGTACAAAATAGTGCATCCTCAAGTATCACTCCAGCCGATGAACATGGAGTGTTTACGATGTATTAGGCACGATGAAGGATAAGTGGGGAATGATGATGAGTACAAATTCCCCCACTCGGAGCTTTGTGGTGCAGATGAGGGAACTACTTAGTTAGTAATCACATGAGGGAATATAGTGTCGCCGCCCTGAACGGAGCCGTGGAGGGTTATGGGCCATCTAAGGGCATATGAGCTGTCTGGGGTGGGGGCAGTTAAGGAAAGTTGCCCCGGGAAGACTGAGTTTAAATATAAAGAAAAGTAGGTGAGAGCGAATGAGGGGAAGGTGGGTGTTTTGCACACGCGTGGGTGAGCGCATGTAGGACAGGTGTGTCCCCGACAGACAGAAGAGCGTGGGGAATATCTGTGTGGCAAGAGGGAACTTGATGAATATGAGGAACTGAAATAAGGCCGGTGTGTCACGGGAAGAGTGTAGAGGCTCATGTCACTTCCCATGGGGCTGAGCAGCAGAGCAGGAAGGAGTGGTCACAGTTTGGGGCTTTCATAGGTCAGGGTTAGGGATGTGGTCTAACCGGATGTTAGGTGTTTGAATTCTGGAGAGAGAGTTGCAGTGATCTGTGGTTATTATTATTGTTACTGTTATCATGATTTTTACTCCCTAGCACCTTTTCCCTATCCTTAATATGTTTATATACTTTCATATTTATTCATTGGTTCTTTCCCCCAACTTCTATCTTTATTCTTCTCTGAGCTCTAGTTCCTCAGTCTTTCCATTTAGGGATGAAGTTGAGAAAACTTTGTTTCCTTTCAATCAGCTTTACTGTTTGAAGTGGAATTTGCTTCTGTATAACCTTAGGCAAGATAAATGAAAAACAATCCAAAATGTTACCTACTGTGACACACATAAATATTTTATGAGTCTTAGCCTTTGCGAAATGCTCAAAAGCTGTTGGTTGTTATTTATCTAACTTAAAATCAAAATTGTTAGAAAAAACTTTTGATGTTTCATGTTGGCAAGAAACTCCGAGTGATTTCAAATGCCTTGATCTTACCCAGAAATAACTTTTGGACATGTGAGTTCTGAGGCCGACTCGGTGTGAAGAAGTAGGAGGAGTTTGGAAGGTGGCTGTTATGTGTATGTGATGTGTGTGTGTTGTGTGCACACACATAGTTATATTGCTGATCTGAGATTAGTCAGTGAAGGGCTACGGTGGGAACGGTAAAACTGCCTAGAGATCGAGGGCCACAACCCCTCATCCCACCCTAAAATAAGGGAATAACTATTATGTTAGGCCACGTAAATACAATTGTTCCGAGCTTCATATAAAACCCGGGTACCCCTGGAGTGCCCTAGGACCCTCGCCTTGATGCCCCATCAGGATTATCCTTTTTATGTGCCATGGCCTGCCCTGTACCTTTCCCTCCATTCTCTAGCACGCCCCCTATGTGTAAGGGTGCTTGTCCTGGGACCCTATCCAGGATGAGCGGTGCCAATCATATCAGCAACAGTTTGACCCACGGTTGCTGTTTTGGACCATAAGACACACCTAGGTTTTAGAGGAGGAAAATAGAAAAAAATTGAAGCGAAAAATGTGGTGAACTATTTAATAACATAAAAACATAATATTTCACCAACGTAAATGTAAACAGAACTCAACAGCAGCATTAACAACCATTATTCTTCCCAAATTTGGGGGAGGAAGTGAGTCTTATAGTCCGAAAAATATGATATTACATATGCACAATAACTTCACTTTTCATATAATATGCATTTAAAAGTTATTTATCTTTAGAGAGAGGGGAAAGGAGGGAGGAAGAGGGAGAGAAACATCAGTGTGTGTAAAGAAACATTGACTGGTTGCCTCTTGCGTGCCCCCCACTGGGGCCCTGGCTGGCAACCTAGGCAAATGCCCTGACCAGGATTGAACCAGCAACCTTTTGGTTTATGAGATGTTGCCCAAGCCAGTGAGCCACATCAAATATGCATCTTCACAATTTTCTGAGTATGGTTATAAAACTGAGACGTGTTCTTTTTAGTTTAAATTTATTGGGCACGTTGGTTAATGAAAGTATCTAGGTTTTGAGTGTACAGTTCTACGACACCTTATCTGTATATTGCATTGTGTGCCCACCACCCACAGTCACTGGAGTTGTCTCTAGTCGGGTTGCTGAAGAGTTTAGTTTTGGATGCTGGGTTTGGGCCCATGTGGGGGCCTGCATCATGATTCCGCATCATGTCATGCTTGCTGGTGATGCCTTCATCCCCAAGAAGCACTGACATCATGACGAAAAAAAGAAATATGGTGAAGATTTTTTTAAACCTTTACTTTTGATGTACAAAATTTGATTTCCTCAGAAAAAACCATTATTTTAGCCCACATACCTCTCTATACCATATCTACTGCAATTTTTTTGCTGAATTAATAAAATAAGCAAAAATAACATTTTCTTGATTTAGCTATGTACTTAGATCATATTTAGTTTTCTATTATATAATCTATTTGTTAATTAGTAGTAATTAGTTAATTGAATGGATATACTTAGTACCTGATCAAAAAGTTAATAAAATATTAGAACAAGGGGCTAATGGTTGAAAATATTTTGCTTCACGGTGGGGTTAGTGGACGAGAAATACGTTTTAAAATTTATCTAGTAAATCAGTTCCTCACATAGAACACAAACCCTTTGTGTGCAGTGCTGATCATTAGTCCCTGACATGTAATGTGTGATATTTGTTAAATAAGCAGGGAACCATTCTGAAAGGTGCTCTGTGCATTCCAGGACCTGACCTTCAGGTATGCACATCCCGAAAGCCTACCTGTTGCACCCGGAAGATGGAGGAGAGGTACCAGGTTGCAGCTCATCAGGACATGCAGCAGGTGCTTCAGGCCTCCAGCTCTACCTTAAAGTTTCTGATCTCTCGAAATGCTGCTGCTCTTCAAGGTAAATGTATCTTGAGTTCTGAAACGCGGGGCTTACTATGCAGTTTTCCTGTTAGTATATTGGCAAACTTAGCTGGGTTTGTTTCTCTGTCTTCCTATATTATTTTGTTGTAAAATAAGATTTTAGCCTTTTCGAACCTTCAGAGATTGTTTCTAAAGTCGTCCAGGAGGACAGCTCTGTAAATGAGACTGTTTTATTGGGACATGGATGCTCTTCAAGGGTTCTTTCAGGTCCCCCAATATTGGTTTTACTTCATAGTGAATGGACCTAATTATTACATTTCATTAAAATGTTTTATAACATAAAATCTCATTGTTTTAAGTGTATAATTATATACTTGTTTTTAAAAATATGATTTGGAAAAATATTTGTCCAATTTTTCTCCCTGCAACTTTGTGTGGTTTTCATAAGAACACCAGTATGGTATATCAATATTCAGACAAGTCTGATAAATACTAATATAGAAACTATTAATTACATGTTTAAGAATCAGCTAAGATCAAAACCCAACCTTAATTTGAACAATATGTTCAGGTATAAAATTAATGGATTATGAAATTACAAGGCACATTGCAGAATTGATTATCTTTTTCTTGTTTTAGTTAGCTACTCTATAAAATTGCTTATTACTATAATAGAATAGCTTAATTTGATTTCCTCCTATAATGTGTTAGCTATTCTGTAGGATTAGAATAAAAATATTTATATCACACTGCTTTTCAATTAAATTTATTGCTTCTGTTCAATACAGAATATAACTTCTGTTAGTATTCCTTTTTAATAAGTATATGAACATCAATCTAAATAATTTGTGCTTTGTTTATATACTGAACTAAATAAAAAAGGTGATTAATTTTTAAAACCCTGCCTATTAAATAAAATGAATACAATAAATTAGGATAAAATTTGAATTAAAATGTCACTCATGATGAATGGATTTTCTTTGCAGAAACTGAAATGTCAGATTTTAAGGTGCTATTAATTTAGTGGTTCTTTTAGGTATGTTAGAAAACAGTCTTAGTTCTGTGGCGGGATTTAATCAAGTGCAATGATTGGAGAAAAACATATTGATGTGCCTTTTAAGTGAAGATTTGTGATTTGAACTGGCTGAACTAGAAGACTTTTAACCACCCACAGACAGCTACATAATCATTTTTTTCTCATGAAAATGAGAGCATGTACAATATGAAAAATACATTTTAGAGCTAAATAGACCAGATAAAGGTTGTAGATGGAATTTACGGGTCATATGCTTGAAAGGGTGAGTTGGACTCCTGTGGAAGAACACTTAAAACATCAACCTGATTGAGTTCTGTGATGAATGCCGGTGGTTTTGATAGGGACTGCACTGAATCTGCAGATTGGTTTGAGTAGCATGGATGTTTTAATGATGTTCATTCTTCCTGTCCCTGAGAATGGTATATCCTTCTCTTTATTTGTGCTTTTAATTTCTTTCTTCAATATCTTATAGCTTTCCAAGTACAAGTCTTTTATCTCATTGCTTAAAATTATTCCTAGGTATTTTAATCTTCCTGATGCAATTGTAAATGGGATTGTTTTCTTAATTTCTCTTTCAAATAAAATGCAACTAGTGTCTGAGTATTTTGTATGCTGTTATTTTTCTGAATTCATTTATTAATACTAATGAATTTTTGGTGGAATCTTTATGGTTCTCTCTATATAGTATCATGTCATCTGCAAATAATGACAGTTTACTATTTCCTATCCAAATTGGGTTCCTTTTATGTCTTTTTCTTTTCTGATTGTTGTGGCTAGGACTTCTAAATCTTTGTTGAATAAAAGTGGTAAAAGTGGACATCCTTATTTGAGTTTTTATCATAAATGGGTGTTGGATTTTGTCAAATGCCTTTTCTGCATCCAGTGAGAGATTATTTGATTTTTAGCCTTCATTTTGTTCATGTGGTGTATTGCACTCATTGATTTGCAGACATCAGTGAGGATATGGAGAAAAGGGAATTCTTCCCACTGATGTGTGAATTGGTGCACCCACTATGGAAAAGAATATAGAGGTTTCTCAAAAAGTTAAAAATAGAACTGCCATGTGATTCAGCAATTCCACTTCTGGGTTGTTACCCAAAGAAATCCTAAACACTAGATCAGAAAGATATAGGAACCCCTATGTTCATGACAGCATTATTTACAATAGTGAAGATAGGGAAACAACCAAATTACCCATCCATCGATGACTGGATAAAGAGGACGAATATTAGCCATAAATAGAATGAAATCTTACTATTCGTGATAACATAGGTTGACCTAGAGAGCAGTGTGCTAAGTGAAATAAGTCAGAGAAAGTCAAATACCATGTGCTGTTACTTATATGTGGAATCCAAAAAACAAAACAAATGAGCAAAATGGAAATAAACTCATAGATACAGAGAACAAATTGATGATCGCCAGATGGTAAGGGGTAGGGGTGGGTGATATGTGAAAAAGATGAAAAAGGAATCAGGGAGTACAAACTGCCAGTTATAAAAATGGTTGTGAGACATAAAGTACAGCGTGGGGACTAGAGTCAGTAATATTGTAATAACTGTGTATAGTGTACGATCGGTCTGAGGCTTATCAGGTGATTAACTGTCCGCTCACTGTGTTGTACACCTGAAACTAATGTAGTATGGCATGTCAACTTTAATGGAAAAATAAATTTTAAAGAATTAAAAATCATCAACTTGGATTTGAGAGAGTCTTTAAAGATTGTAGAGCAGGGAAGCTTCATTATGATTTCTTCTTATTTAATATGAAAACTAAATCCCTGCAAGTAAGAGTGTGTGACTGAAGAGGATCACGACAAACCAAACCTAATTTTTAGGGGGTAGCGGTGTTAACTATACGAGTCAGAGAAAGTGCCAGCGGTGTTCTAACGCATAGCCATTCACTGAATGTTAGTTGAACATTTCTTCTTTCTTAAAAGATACTGTAACTAACTTCTCACATATTCTTGGATAAATTAAAATAGAGCAAATTAAGGTCAAAGGACTGGGACAACACAAACACTGAATTGTTTATTTAGACTTTTAAGATGGGCTTAGGGAAAATTTTTGTGATATTGCTGTAAGTTTGGTGGTAATTACCTAAGTACTAGAAATATATGGGGTTGTGTTTGTCTACAGGAGTATCAGGTAATTTTATATAAATTTCATTTTTTCCTGTTTAATAAATTCTATATGCTGTATTTAAGAGGTTGAGTTTTGGTATTTATTTAAATATTAAATCATAATATGAAAATGGTAGGGACTTTCTTAAATATAATTTGTTATAATCGTTTTCTCCTTTTGTGGAGTGCCAAATTTTATTTAAGAATCATTAGAACACCAGACAAATTTAGAAGAAATTTTCCTAAAGCCTAACTTTGTGGAAAGAAATTCTTTTACCAGAAGAATATCTGTTTTTAATTTAATGAATAGGATAAGTACCTTTAGGCTGATTTCCAGAAAAACAGCTTTAAATATATGTGCTAAAAGCAATGTTAGAAATCACCTTTACTGTATGATAACTGAGAAGGGGCTGTTTTTATCAGTAAGAAAAGTACCCTCCATCTGGTTTCTGTGCAGTCAAAATATCTGAAAACAATTAAAAGTATTTTTTTTCAGAAGAAAGAAACCAAACACATTTTATTGGGAAACAAGTCTGATTGAGAGAAATGTAATGGGGAAATCAATTCACTTCTCAAATGATGCAAGTAGATTTGCTATATTTGATCCTTTGACTTTGAAATATTTCCTTATGCCTTTTACTTCAGTGATATTAAGCTGGCTTTTTGTGGTTGTTGTGGTTGTTGTTTTTTAAGTTGTATTCTGCATTCCAAAAGACTTTGGTCTAGGATACAGTACATTCTCTTCTCTCATGGATCTTATGGACACCATGCAAAACTACTTTTGAAGCTGTTCTTTATTTTTTAAATTTTATCTATCTATCTATCTATCTATCTATCTATCTATCTATCTATCTATCTATCTATCTATCTATCTATCTATCTGTAGAAGGGAAGGGAAGGAGAGAAATATCAATGTATGGTTGCTTCTGGTGCATCCCCTGCTGGGAACTGGCCCCTGCTGGGAATTGGCCTGCAACCCAGGCATGTGCACTGATGGGGAATCAAACCATGATCTTTTGGTTTGCAGGCCCGTGCTCAATCCACTGAGCTACACCAGCCAGGGCTGAAGCTGTTCTTTAGATTGTACTGATGGGGACCATCACTTAGGTCTATGGACTTGGCCCCATATTTTTGTGAGATGAAGGGGCTTTTCAAGAGAGGGAGGAAAGAGTGCTGGCAACTGGCGCTGGATGACAAGAGGTTATTCTAAGTACAGTCCACACTCAGCTCTGGGGTTCAGCCCTGGGGTTGGAGTCAGCCTGCTGGCACAACTGTTCATCTGTCACGAGAGCATGTTCATGGTATAGTCTTTCCTGTAAGTCAGCTGGGCAACTGCTTGGCCAGCTGCCTGCTGAGCAGCCCAGCACCAAGGAATAGACATGACCACACACAGTAACTATGCTGTTCACTCAGCTTTTATTGCATACAGGTTCACTCAGAGCAGAACATCAGCATGCGTTCATATCCTACTCACACTCTGACACTGGGAGAAATATAAAACACAACACGTAGCAACCAATGGGGGATAATGAACCTGAATCCTAGAGTGTCAGTCTGCAGGTCTGGGAGGCAGCACGGTGGGCAAGGGAATTGTCAGAGTCTTGCAAGGAAGGGTCTCCACAGCCAGGTGGGCAGCAGGGCAGATGAAGTCCCCAGTCCAGGAGGGCAGAGCTTCTGGTGGCCAATGCCAAGGGAGATCAGCATGGCGTGGAGCAGCAAGGAGTGAAGCAGCACTCTGGGGTGTGGGGCTCGGCTGTCTCAACAGTGGTCTGGAGCCTGCCTCAGTTATACCTTGAAAGCGGTGGACTCCACCCTTCTGGGTCTATTGATAAGTGTCTTGGCCCCCTTGATGGAAAGTGAGGAATTTCACCAGGGGCCTATC